AAACCACCTCCCGACGGGCTCGAAGGAGTACCGGATGGTGGGGCGCTTATAGCTCGTTTGCCTGTTTATGGAACGCGTGACGCTGGGAGAGGTTTATGAAAGAAGATCCGACACCGTTTTAAACCTTACGGATTAAGAGAGAAACGTATCATGCCAGCCTTTTCAGTTTATCTAATGATAAGAACGAGATTACGTGAATGATAGGCACACATGTGGACGACATACTATGGGCCGCAGACGACGAGAGCCAGAGGATTATGGACTCCGCGCTGGCAGAGTTCGACATCAGAGAGGTCAAGTCAGGAGATTTCCGCTACTGCGGGTTAGAAAGTGCTCAAGATCAAGACTATACCGTCCACGTCATGGCCAAGGACAACATCGAAAGGATAGAAGCTGTATCCTATCCCAGGGACAGCCCCCTCACCAGGCGCTGTAACGAAGGAGAGACATCCCAACTTAGGTCAGTTGTAGGTGCCTTGTCTTGGGTTTGTCGGCAATGCAAGCCCGAGCTCCTCTACCGCGTGAGTCGACCGCAAACGGCAGTGACCCATGCGAAGGTATTGCACCTTAAGGAGGCCAGCCGCGTCTCGGAAGAAGCAGCACAGACGTCGGACAGCGGACGTGTTTGAAGGTGGTGCCGTGCTGTGGGACAAGGACATGATCGTTCTTACCGTTACGGATGCCAGCTGGGCTGGAGAAGACGATGTTGCAAGAGGCAACTTGGAGCCTTTCAGATCCCAGAGGGCCAGGTTCAACGGACTTGCAGGGCCGGGATTTGTCGAGGGGAACAGTGAGTACATTCACCCTATATGTTTATCGAGCAAGGTTATTCGGCGCGTGTGCAAATCTACTTTACAAGCAGAGACGTTGGCTTGTCTCTGGGGTGTAGAATCAGGTGTGCGTATACGTGCTGCCATCGCTGATGCGCGAGGTATGCTTGGGGTAGCTAATAAACTCCCTTCAGACTGGGAAGAGATGTCAGCCATGACGATGAGACATCTTTGGATGACAGATTGTAAGAGTTTGGAAGAGCACCGAACAGCGCCTACTATGGGAAAGACGGAGGATGAGCGCTTGAGTATTGACCTGAGCAGTCTCCGTCAGGACATTTGGACACGAGGTGATGAAGAGGTAGAAATCCTGCACCCGAAGTTGTTCTGCTATAAGATCCGTTGGATCGATACGAGCGTCATGGCCTTAGACTGCCTCGCTAAAGTTATGCCGAATGATTTCCTTGTTAACATATTGACCACTAGTACTTACGATATTACCCCGGACCCGGAGTCAACGATCAAGAAAGCGAAGAATCAGCTGGCTAGAGCCAGAGTGAACACGATCCCGACGGGGAAGTGATGTCACTGTCGCCACCCTGGCCGCCTTACGCTGCGTCTCGTTTGGAGACGCCCTTTTACTAGCCCCTAAGAGTGGCTGCCAACCGGCTAGCTCGTGACAAAGTTTCACGGGTGTGAGATATAGTGTGTGTATGACACGCTCGTACGCCACTCGCCGCCGCTTGGCTCTTAGGGGCCCCTTTTGCCTTGGCTTGAAAACGTACCATCAATCACAATAGTGGTACGAAAGTTCACGACGTAACGGGAATGGCTCTCATGAGCGGTAGGTTTGTCTCGTGCCGACGCGGTTGCGACCCCACCGCGGGCGTTCAAGGTTGAGCGCCAGCAGAGGCCCAGAATCGACCAATAGGGACCGAACCGATCGGAAAACCGTCCCAGGGTGAACTATCCACGCGGTGTCAGAAACCAACGCGGGCGTCGTCACGACATGAAAATGGCGTACACACCTTGTACGCGCCATTCATACTCGAGGGACAAGTGATGCAATAACCATAAAGATATGGAGGGCCGCGAGGATCTCTTGGATCGGCGCTGGACGCCCCTCCCTGTAGCAAGGAGCGCGCCAAGGGCGGCACCAGAAAAACCGCCGGGGGGCCCCAGCGCCAATCGGAGGAATCCGCGCGGACCTCCGAGTTGTTTTGCCCACTAGGCTGCAACTCCTAGGAGGTGAGACAAATTGTATCGGCGCTGGTATTTTCGCGTTCGATAACCCGTTTAGATTCGACCGTTCGGGCTCAATCCCGCTTGACACTGATCCTGCTTACTCCCGCTTAGTTAGTCCCTGGCTTAATCGGGCCTCATCCTGTGAAGTGGCCCGTGAATCGGGCTTAATCGCCTTGCATCGTTCCGACGAAGACCTCCCGGGAGTGGCTTCCTAATGTCTCTGTCACCGCTTAGTTCTCTGAGTCCGCGGACGATATGAATGTGTGCACCGTACCGTTTTGTTGCCCTTCGTCGCGTCGTCCCCAGAGACGAACAAACTATGCACCATACCGCGTTGAAGCGGGGCCTGAACGGAGTCCAGACGTGGTACGGTGTATGGGTGCCGGTCTCGTACGAAAGATTGGGACTCGAAACTCAAGAGACGGGGGTAAAAGCAAACAGGGGTCAGCCAGAGCGCTGGCTCTTGCAGGATCCTGCAGAGCCAA